GGGGGGGGGGGGGCGGGGGGGGGGGGGGGGGGGGGTACGTCTTGCCACGATACTCGAATCGAAGAAAGATTTGGAGCAGCTTAGGCGGAGGAGGTTGGTCGACTCGCTCGTAAGCTTCAGTGGAAAATCGCTTATTATCCATTTACTTGGATATTGCTGTTATTGATATTTCAACGCTGCGCGCTTCGTCTTTGTCGTTCGTTTCTGGGTTACGGCATTCTCGCCATTGCTCCGGCACGTAATAATGAGAGGAGTATGAGTCGGCCTCTTACCAGCTAAGAGTCGATAATTCCATGTTTGGTGAAATAAAGAAAATTTATGGTCTTCGTTAATGCTACAATTTGCGCTCCTATTCCTATTAAAGGACGTCGTAAAATTTTATGCTAATCGAGCGGTTTTGTATATAATTGCACAATTTTCCAGAGATGATCGAATTCTTATTGACATAGAGTGCGGACATCTTGCTTAATTCAATTACGTTACATCTATAAAATACTAAATAATTTAATAAATAATTGTCTAAATAAACTAAAAAAAAAAATACTGTCTAAATAATTAAAATGATTATCGCTCCGAACAGCAAAAACGTCACACTTACGACTGCTTAGTCATATTAAAATGAAGAGCAAAGCTTATTATAATAAGAGCCCGAGTCTTGGGATCTTCTTTTGTTTCACGTTGATTACGCAAATCTATTTGAATCTTAAATTGTTATACATAGACTGTTGGTGGAGTTCCAAATTGTCCTTATCGTGATGAGGTTAATACCTCAGGATGTCGAACGATCCTATCTCTCTCTACCTCTCACCACCTCTCTCTCTACCTCTCACCACCTCTCTCTCTACCTCTCACCACCTCTCTCTCTCTCTCTCTCTCTCTCTCTCTCTCTCTCTCTCTCTCTCTCTCTCTCTCTTTATCCGAATCGTGATTCTCGTGATCCCATTATGGATTATTTTCCTGGAATTGGGGAATTCGATCGACGCCTATCTATGCCTGAAAGTGGATACGCCTGAATGTCGAAAATATTTTGCCGCGCGGACAATGAGGCACGGGATCAGAGTTCGTTCGATTGCCTCTCACAAAAACCGAAACTTGGCATCGGCGTCACCTATCAGCGCCCGTAGCTCTGAATTCAAAATGCTCTCATGAGTTGTGCAATAAACTCCACTACTCGTGCCCCGTCATATCCAATATTCGCCTATGCAAATGTGTGTTGGTACATGTGTGCATACCGCAAAAGATGCCAATATCCTTACGTAGCCACGAATCTATATATATGCATCATACATATATACATAGATAAATGTTATTGATTTTCATTTCTTAGCCTACTAATGGTGATGGAGTCTACGGCTCAGCCCCTACAATTTATTATCGGAGTAATGGCTCGGAGTAGGTTTTTCCATGCCTATTGGGCGGAGCGTGGGATGATATTCCTAACAGCTTCGACGTTTGTTCAATGCACTCGTTGCTTATATTCCGTACGTGCCTCATCGGTAATTTTGATTAAACGGCGGGCGGAGGGTGAGGGGATAATAACATTTTTTACTACGCTAATTACTAAGCGTTGGTAAATTTTCTTTAGTCGAGATATGTCAGTGGACGGAGGAGGCGGGAGAGGGAGATAGAGAATATTTCGTGAGAGTCGTTTGTACGGTTATACGATATACGATAGATCTATAAAAAAATAAAAAAAAATAAATAAATAAATAAAAAATTAAGTACATGAAAAGTCGTCTAATTACACGCGCGTGTCTTTCTTGTGGATTAAGCAAAGTAGCAAATTAATATGAAGCGATCGATTAACGATGCCATTATGCTACGTGCTAATAAAAGTAATTAAATAATAATAAAAGTAAAAGGATTGCAGAACAGCTTAGCACAAAATATGCTTTCTATTTACCGTTAATCGAGACTTGATAATAAATTCGACGTAATCTAACGTAATAAGCCATGGAACAGTTGCGACGATATTTTATTGATAATAAATGTTACCCTCGTATAAGAAACCACATATCGCCTATCAGGAATTCGACGTCGAGAATTTTATTCTACGCTCAAATGTATGGAAGCTCATTGCGGCTGGAACCCTATGACGTGCAAGACTTTCTCGTCGCAAAAAAATCCTCAAAAAAAATCCATCCTTCGTCGCTCGCTCTTTAATTGTTTACATATTGATCCGTCAGTTTTATTTGAAACGAGGAAGCATACGGCTACGTATGTGTAAGTTTTTAGCGGGTGCGCGGGCGTGCGCGCGTGAATGTATGTGTATGTGTCCGCCCGTGTGCTTGTGCGTATGTTTTTGTCAACGCTGGGCAAAAATGAAGATTTATTTGTAATGGAACATTTTGTTTTTATCGAATGCATCTTATTATTTACACAATTTATCGGTAGATGTGCGCAAACAGTGACAAATTTACATTCTCAGGGGAACTTACAACGTACGTTTCTTCAGCCAACAAATGTTTTTCTAGTTTATCTATCGTAATTGTAACATTAATAGTTTCACTTGATTTAATATAAATAATTACTAAGTATATTTAAGGTGGGTAATAAATAAATATTTGTTAGCAGTTAAAAGAAATTTTTGTAAATATAAGCGTTGTTTATGTCTTAGACTATTTTATTGTATAAAGATTATATTTAAATATTGTATGTTGTGTTACTTTTCATTGTACCTTTATAAACAAAGTAAATAAATACTTCTTAATATCATATTGAAACTTTTTTCTACCTTCATAATTCATAATTTTCATTATAACGAATAAGCGATTATGCACAAACATGTACACACACACACACACACACACACACACACACACACAGAAACACACACAAACACACAAAATTTAATTTAAGATTACATCGTTCGAATCATACACACGCGCACGCACTCACGCACACATAATTATCGAACGTATCGAATGTTATTTGACCTCATAATTGCATTTTATAAAATTTTGATAATAATATCGATTGTCGGTATTTTTCATACGCTCTAATTAAAAAATGTCCCATGTTGAAATAATGAAATTTAAAATTCCAGAAAAAAATTTTTTTTCACTTTAAAAACACTGATTATACAATACGTAAGGATTTGTAATTTTATTCATACGCACCTTTTATTTCCTGCTCATAATTTTTCCTACATTTAACTTTAATATATACCAATTAATATAAGCATAATACGTAATTAATTAGAGTTAATATTTAACAATATAGTAATATTAATTCACTTTTTTTCACGGTACTTTTAAATTCTTAAGA